ACAAGACTGGTTCTAAATTTATTGTGTAGTAAATTTAAATTTAAACAAAATGAATTCTAATTTGTTATGACTAAATTAATGAATAATTTTGAACTGTATATGAAAAAAAATATAAATGTCTCCTCAGAATTTTTCTCTCTACTGGTTATTTTCAATAATTTTGTATAAAATATGACCACATAGACATTGAATTCAACATCTCCTCTAAAATCTTTAATAATAGCCATAAAAGAATTAATCAAAGTAGCAAGATGAAACACTTTGAACAACTTTTACAAAATAACAACTTTTTCAAATGAAAGTCATACTATGCTGATTATGTAACAAACTTTTGGAATCAAAAGCAAAAACGAGAACTAAAAATTTTCAAAACGTCAGACATAATGTTATAAAAAAAATTTTTTATTGGTTTTTAAACAAAAAGAATGTTTAACAGAAAAATAAACGAAAAAATTCACTAAAAATCTGAGATAAAAAAAAAATTGAATTTTTAAAAATAAAAGTTTTGTTTCTGAAAACAAAATATTTTTAGAACTTTCTCCTTTCAAAATTATACGAAAGTGAAAAAATTTGCATATACGAATAAGTATAAATTTTTTTTAAATACAAAAAAAAATTTTATAAAATTTGATAAAGCCATTTTGAAATATGATTAAGATTTGGACAATGTAGAATAACTAGGAAACAGAAAAGTAGAGGGAACAGAATTCCATTAATTGCGCAGAGATTGCATTCTTACTTTGGCAACTGAATGCAGACATAAATAGAACAAAATAAAACTGAAAAATTCTTACATACACTCGTATCTATTGCAAGACCCATGGGTTTTTAATTCTCATCTAAATAATTTTTGACTTCAGTTTTTTTTTAACTTTTTAGATTTTACAGCAAGAAACACAATTTGTTCTAATGTTTTTTACGATAAGCACACTAAAATGATGGCATATGATTTTAAAAGACAAATTTTTGTAAAGAGCTAAAAATTATTTGTAAAGCAATTAACTAAAAATTTTTAAAAGAGCAAATTAATTACTTTGCCATAAAGGTGAGGAATTTTAGTTATACATGGTAACGCCACTTACTAAACGAGACCCCAATTGAATTTGTTATTGTTTTATTAATTAAGGATACGGAAACGATAGTCAGATTTCAATAGAAACTACATGCTTCTCTTGTTTTCGTCAATGATTTGAAAAATCTTATTATAATTTTTGCTGCACTGGCATACAATGTAATCAAAACTTCTACAATATTATTATATGTATATTGTACTAGCTATGTAATTACAGTTAATTACAATTATGTGAGTATTCTCTTATTCTTATTTACAAATGAATTTTGATAACGAAAAGAATTTTATGTTTCAGCTAAATTGCATATAAAGAATTCAAAATACAAAATTTTCATTTACTATTCAAACTTTTCGGAACTTCAATGACTAATATAAATGAAAACTTCTTTAATAAAAGAAAAAAAAAACATCACTTTTTCAACTTTATTTGTTCGGATGAATTGCTATTGATTGAAATAGAATAGAAGCTACAGCAAATGAATTTACCAATTCACATTCTTATTCATTATTTTTGCAAATTTTATGAATATTAAGTAAAAATGAAATTTTTACGATGATAGGACCTTACTTGAACAACAGAAAGCATATTTTAATTAACTTTCAAAGAATATACATTTGATTTGGAGAATAAATGTGTAAATAAAAAAAAATTTGAGAAGAGGCAAAACTTATTATACAATATATTTATGTGGTTTCAAGGGAAAACTCATTAAGGAAGACATTTAAACTCAGCGAAGTTAAAATTCATCGAAAGTTAAAATGCCTTTCCCAGTAAAATTTTTCAATTTTAATACATATTATATTACAAATTTAAATCCACATTTAAAGAAATTACGTTTTCTTCCTATGTTATCTTCTTTGAAAGTCTTTGCCACTATTTATGACTGAGTAGGTAAGTCTAGAACCACATAGTTAATAGGAGTATTAGATTTTCTGCTGCACACTGAAACCCCTTCAGTGTCTGTTAATAGCAAATTTTATATCAAAAACGAGATAATAAATTCATATCAAAATTTTAAGATTCTAGATTTGAATTTCAAAAATAATGTCAACTTTTGATCCTGTTTACATTTAAATTTTCCAAAGTAATCACGTATAAAATATAGGAAGTCAATTATTTTATAATTAAGTAAAAAAAATCAACAATCTTGACTCGCATTTCTGTTTGTAATCACAGATTTCAAATTTGTATATACACAATAGATTTCTTAAAGTTTAATACTGCAAAACTATTACATCTATTTTTTAACAAAATCGTTTTAAAATATTTCATTTGCTGCAATAAAAATATCACGATATAAACTATTGAAATTCAGGCATCCTAAAAATATGCAATTTTTATTGAAAAAGCAAAACAATTAAGAACAATATTATATTCGAATTCATGAACAAAATTGTGTGTTTTTTTTTAAGTTTAGGATCAATTTTAAATTTTTTAGAACACAGTCAGCTATATAATATCGTAGAAGTAATAGATAAAATATAGCTATATTGATATTTTATCTATTACTTCTATACTTCTATATATCTTTACAGTTAAGTTGCTCTCCATTTTAAGTACTTACCAAAAATTATTATACAATTAGATTTCCATTACCAGAATCATCATTTTGCAAGGAAAATTCACGAGGAGTAAGTATGAAAAATAAAATACGAATTAAGGACTTATATTTAAATTTAACATAATAGTATGAGAATTTTGTATGAAATTTAAAGAAACAAAAAAATAGCTCATGAAATACACTCTTAAAACTGTGGATCAAAAGTTTTAAGGGAAAAATGGCAATGCAGCTAATTTTACTCAATTAATTGTTTTCACTAATCTCGTGTTATAGAAACAATATTACTGTCATTAAAGTAATGTGAAAATTATTTGTGTTAAAGAAAATTTTTCGGTTTATGGAAGTTTTCTTTCAATGCGATAAAAATACAGAATAATTTTGTTAATGATCCAAAATACAATAAAAGAGTTCGTGTTAAAAAGAATTTCATTTTATGGGACTTCGTGTTATACGGGTTTGCCTACATATCTATAATGGACATATTCACATATGTCCTTTAACTCAATAGAAATTGTGTTATTTGGTAATATTATGTTTTTTAATTCATATCCTACCACAAATATAAAAGAAGAGTATTAAATATAAATCACAAATATTTTACTTTTTACATTATTCTTTCCTAAATTTATAAATTGCTAGTTATTAGAAATATTATTTCGATACAGAGAATACTTACATACTATACATAAAATATATACGAAATTGTTAAAGAAATGAATAAATAAATTTGAGGAATTTGAAAAAAAAAATATACAAATAAATAAAAATGATTTAATATTTTATTTTGCTCATCAATATAATAAATGCACATATTATATATATAAAATAATATATTATGTATATAATCAATTCATATTAGAGTAGCAAAATATGCTTAGTAAATTTATACTATTACAACATACATACGTAATATATTATATTACATTTTCAAATGAACTTAGTGAAAATTTATTATGACATCCAATTACGGTTTCCATTTTATTGAATCAATCGAATTTTCAATCTTATAAATTTTGCTTCTATTATCATATATTTACATTATTTTTATAGTATGGATGTATATATAAATTTATATGCATATCTACGTTCATACATATTCATTTCAAACTTATCAATAATATAAATAGCATAAAAATTTACAGAGTGTGCCATATATAGTGGTGAAGTCAAATATATACTAGGGAATTATTAATTCATCTCTTTTAATACCATTACTAAAAAGAAAGGGAAAAAAAAAAGTTCTCAAAAAAAAGTTTGTTCATTGTATGTTTATTAAAAATCTTATTACAATACCATTCTAGACCATACCGTAAAGTACCGTTATACCTAACACAGTTAAAATTATAGCCTACTTTCCATAAATTCTGCCATAAAAAAAAAATTTTTTTTTGCCTTTTAGAGTAAAAACTTAAAAATTTTTTTTACTTTTCCATCTTTACCGAATAGAATAGGGGGACAATTTGTTTTCTTTACAAAAGAAGACCTATACAGTGATATATGTGGTATGCATTACAAGTCCATGGGTATACATATACATATATATATATACAAATATACTTATTATATTATTATAGACCTTTGTTTTTGCTTTTCCTTTTAGGTTTTATTAATAATTTTAGATATTTTAGTAGTACCTACTCTCCAGAACAGGTAAATATAATTTGAATTTATTAAATCTGAAAACTGTATAAAAAATAGATTTTTTTTTATATACTTATGAATGTAAATGCGGTATGTGAAAATGTTATATGAAAAACCAAAAAAAAATTTCAATTTTTTTTATAAAAATGTAAATGTGATCATTGATTTGTCAAAATAATGAAATCTGAATTTTAGACAAAAAAAAAAATTGTATATTCAAATTAAAAAAAAAATCTTTGTATATTCGAAGTTCCGCAAAATACACAATATTTCCTTTTCTTGTATAGTAAGGAAGTTTTAAGAATTTTTCTTGAAAAGATCTTTTTTTTAAAAATTAAATTTTATCAACTGGAAAATAATCATCTATTTTCGATTTAAAAATAATTTAATTCTTTTCTAAATTTCTATTGAACCTTTACTCAAAATCGAAAGCTCAACATAGATAAAATTCAATACTGTCAAGAGGCATTCATTCTGTTATGCAGGAAGTTCTGTGATGTTAAGAATTTTGTTAAGTAAACACAACCAAAATTCGAAAAAAATTAATTTCAATGTTTTCATTGCCGGGTTTCAAATGTTAAAAAATCTAATATGACAAAATAGCGCTTTATGAAATTGTATATAAGAATAAACCTATTTGGATTATCTACTCTTTGAATTTTTTAATTGTGTCTTGTCCAAATTAAATTTTTTCTATTTAATTTCTGAAATAAAAAAATTTTACATCGGTATTATTATTAAATTTTCATTATATTTCAATTTCTTAAAATCTTTAAAAAATAAACTAAATTTATTTCATTTAAGGGAGATAATGGGACATTAGAAAACTAAATTATAAGGAACAGTATGATTAATATTCACAATTTTTCGAATTGAAACCGAATATAAGAGATTATTATTTTATTTTTACCAACAAAATGAGTTACCACTATTATGGTTTAGAATAAAATTTATAATATGTAGTTCACATTTTAATGTTCAGATAATTTTTTTCCGAAAACTATAGAACTTAAAAATATACACAATATCAAATACATGTCAATATAACAAAATATATATTATTTATTTAATCAACATATTATTTTTCATTAAGTCTATATTTACAAATAATAATGCTAAAATTTAATAATCTATTCAACTTTAAATAATTCTTTAACTGGATGATCACCTATAATTTTATTTGCTATAATTGAAAATTTTTCTTCTAATTTTTCTTGTATTGTTGATTTAAATTCATTGAAAATATCTAAGAAATTTTCATTTAATAAATCATTTACAGTCTGTGATAATTCTTTATTATTATGTATAATATTTGGAAAACTCATATGACCATTTTCAGGACGTAATTGAAATTTAATATTTAAAATTTTAAAATATTTTTCATTATCTTTTTCATAAAATTCACAATTAATTATTGTTCCAACTTTTATTTTATTCATTATAACTTCAAATTTATCAGCACCCTGAACTTGAAATAGAAGTAAACGTCCATTTGCTTCATAATCACCTTTAATTATAGCTTTTGGTAATGAATTTTTCACTTTTATTTGACATTTATCAACAAAATTTGTTCTGTAAAAAAAATTATTTTTTGATATGCAAATTTATTATTGGAAATATAAAATATTTTACTTAATATCAATAATTTTCATATCAGAGACACCACTAAATGTAAAGTTTGTGAATTTTTGTTTAAGTGTAACTGCTGCTGATGAATCTGGTGTTTGTGCTGAATCTATAAATACTGGATCTATTGCTGGGATATCTTGTAGTTCAAATCCTTTAAAAACATAAATAATAATTATTGTATATAAATTATATAATCGAATATGGAAATTAAATCATAATTAATATTATTCTATAATTTACCCGATATAAATTTGTGCTTAAGAACGTGAAGCATAAACTGATCGAAATTTTATGATATTGTCTTTTTTATATAGATATTTAAAAAATTCTTTGGCAAATGACTAGTTTGCTGTATAATTCTATATTTGAATTTTATTAGTAGAGAGCATGCTTTACTCGACTATAACTATTATAGGGCAGGTCTATATCCAAGAATAGACTTGTTACTAGCTTCTATTTATATAATTTTTAACCGATATTTTCTTAAAATTTCATATAATGGATTTAATCGATCTCATTTCGGACTATACGAGTATGTTATAATATAAGAATGCGTTACAGAAAATTTTTGAAAATATATAAAATTTTGCAATAACCTACTAATTTTAACTTTTAACCGATAACTTCAAATGCATTCACAAGCTTTTTAATCAGTTAAATTTTTTTTTTCTCAAAATAATTAATATTACTTTCTAGATTGAAAGTACAAAGTTAAGAGTTTATCGTTTCATATATCAAACAATTGAAAATTATTTTAATTCCATAATACTCAAGCCCTTAAGCATTAAAGAATTAAAAGAAAGAGGGAAATATTGTACTGAGAAAAATTTGTAGTTGAAACAAGAAAATTGTATTATAGGCTACATACCATAATAATTTTATATAAGTAGAATGGAAATTCATAATAAATATCTAAAATCACTCGTGATTTACAATACAATATTGTTTAGTTCATTCAATAGTTTAATTGGATTTAATTTTTAGCCGTAAATGCAATATTTAAGCAAATTTAAGTAAAAAATATTATGAATAAAATTTTAACATACCATTTTTTCCTAATTTAATAATACGTTCAATATTTTCAGCTACACAACTGCTAGTATCGGCATCATTCATAGAGCAAGGATTGAAAAAGCTTGCTGTTTTCCAAACGAAATGATTCACAGTTTAAAATGAAAACCAAAAAAAAAAAAAACAAATTTAATTAAATTAAAAATATTTATTTTTAAATTAAATTTTTATTTATTTTTTATTTTTTTGTTTTAATTATTTTTTATTTTTAATTTATTTACGTTTATCATTTGCTGAAACACTTATAATTAACAATAAACAACCAAATAATATAGATTTCATTTTTTTTGTCTAATTTTTATTTTTTTTAATTTTTTAAAACTAAAAATTAATTTTTTTTTATTTTTTCACAGTATATGCCCAGTGTTAGGCACAAAATAGAACTGAATCAATTCTGAAGATTAGTCTTAACTTTTATATAAATATTATTACAAAAAAAAAAAAAAATTTAAATAAACTGCAGTACCGTGAATTTTTTTTTTTTTTTTTTTGTTGAATTAGATGATAAAACACAGGTTTTCAAGGTGAACATATTCTAAGTTCAAGTTTCTTATAAGATGTAATTTTTTTGTTGTTATTATTTTTTTTTTTCTTTGACTTTATTTTATTTTATTTTGAAAAATAAAGCTTTTACACATAAATATAAGTTATTTGCTAATTAATTGTTTAAATATAAAAATTTGAAAAATAATTGATTTTTCTTTTTTTTTTTGTTTAAAATTACTACTAAAAATTTAATAAGAATTTTAGTTATGCCGCGCGCGCACACGTCACAGCAAATACTATAAAAAAAAATGTTTGTTTTTTTTTATTTGCTTACTTGTTTTTTTATCACGCATGCATGTGCTTCTATGCACAAAAATTAAAAAAAAAAAAAAAAAAAATAATAAATACTACGATTAAAACAAAAACAAAAGTCACTTACAATGATAGTGACATTTAAAATTAAAAAAATTTTTTTTTATTTTTTTAATTCAAAAAATTGTTAACAGATGGTTGGGATAGTAAAAAGAAATAAAAAAATTAATTCATATAGACTTATATACATACATAGGTATATAGACACATGAAATTTATTCGAAAGCCGACCACGTGCACGTTGCCATTGTAATAATCATTAGTCATCTTAAAACTAGTTTTAAAACATATGAGTAAAATTTTATTTAAATTATGCACATTTTTATTCTAATATATACATTTTATTGTTATTATTATAGAATTAATTTAAATTATTTAAAGAATTTTATATTTAAAAAAAAATTTTATTAAAGTATTATGTATTTTAATATGCATATATAATGCATACGTGTTTAATGTCATAGTTGAACGCGCATAGTTTATTTTATAGCATAGTTTATTTTATTTATGATTTATAGTTTTATTAGGGCTCAGACAGATCGGCAATTTTTTAGTTTTGAAACTGTTTTATTGTTTATTTGTATTCCATAGATTTATATTCAAGGGTGTATACATGCAACTGTATGATCGTATACAATTATGCAATTAAGCTGTTAATTTTTTTACAAACATAATCGATTTTTGCAAAAATTGCAATAATATTACTCTATACTAATATTAATACAAAGTTCAGCAATTAAAAATCATAAGCTGAATTATTTTATTATAATATATACGATATTTTTTTACGATATTATTGCAATTTAAAAGTCAAGGTTTTGTGTAGTTGTAAATATGTTTATGGTTAGAGTTGCTTTTTTTTTAGTTAGATTCAATTTTTCGAATTTAAATGAATATCTCAATTTGTGTTTGTATACTTAATATGTAAGACTATTGCCTTGTATAAGCAATTATGATAGCAAAATAAACGTCACTTAATCATCAAACGTGGCTATCAGTTATTTTAACTAAAATCGTCATCTTTCATAGACGGAAAGGTAAGAAACCAGGAATGGGGAAGGAAAAATGGGGAATTTATAGTTAATTGAATATTAAAGTGTAAATTAAAAATTAAATGAACAAAACCAAACGTATACAATTACTGTGCGGTGAGTTAATAGAAAGCGTCTCATTAACTAAGAATATAAATTAAACAAAATCAATGCTATCGTACAGTCAGGCCTTAAGCAGCCTTTTACTTATATTCGTACAAAGAGCAAACGAATACATATCGATTTATTGGTCAACGTACGCTTCATTGGCTCATGTGCATCCTATATTCCGTACTACCATGCGTAACATTAAAAATTTCGAACGATCTTAAGTTACTCGGATTCACCCTGTAAGAAATTCGAATCAATAAAACCCAAGTAACTACATTACATACCATAAGTTGAGAATGGAAGGCTATATGAAAAACCGCCATACGACAACGAAACGAAGTATTTGTTTATATTTATTTGAATATTATTATTTTAAAAAATAAAACACTAGAGAAAAATAACAAGTATAAAAATGTTTCATTCGACATTTACCGCCTAAATTATATCGTACACACATAATATGATAATCTAAATATAAAAACTTATTTTCGAAATATTTAAAATAAGCTTGTAGTGATATGTGACAGCTGTCCGAATCCGACAAGCCATTTCGCTAAAATATTTAGCATAATATCTATATTTGAGCTATAATTAAACACAGCCTAAGTTCAAGCAGTGTCATACATCTTTACTAATTATATTTTAGAGCTGTATGGTGCGGTATCCGAAACATTGTAATTATTCAATTGAAGTTTTTAAGATATATTTATACAAAAGATGTAATTGTATTCACCTTTGAGTTCATTTCAGAGTTATCGTTCGATTGCACAGCCGAACGTTTGGATATACATCAAAGCAGAATTTAGCGCTAAAGCTTAAGACATTATATTTTTTTTGAATTGCAATGTTCAAGTGTTTGTTTACCAAATTAGGTCATAACCTAATAATCCAAAACAAGTCATACCCAATTAGGTTATAGGTTATAATATTGCTAAAAATAAAAATATAAAATTGTTTACAAATTGCCTCCACATAAAATTTTAAAGCTATCACTTACCACAAATTTATTTTAATCACAAATATTCCTATGATTGGGTTCCATAACGCTTCCTTTTTTATTTTTTAGTCCTATTTAAATTGTTGCACTAATTAAACGATATTAAATGTAATTATTGTTATTAAATTAAATCAATTTTTTTATGTTGATTTCATTTCTAGAAAATTAATACAAAATATCATAAATATTGTAATAAATATTTTTACAGGGTGATTTGAATAAAGCTTTGTTTTTTTTTTAATTCATTGATTCATTTTAAATAGTTTTAGCGTTTTCATCTTGTTATTTAATAATTTTTTTATAATTTATTTATGTATTAATAAAATAATCATAGTTAAATACAGTTCGTTATACTGAAGCTTAAAGAACGTATAAGATTTTATATGTATATTGAATTAATATGGGTATAGAATGAATTAAAATTTATTGATTTAGTATAAAATTTTTAAACGAAGCTATAAGTTTGTATTACAATACCTGATATTTCAAACTATTACTGAAATATGCAAGAGAAGTTTGTATATACTATGCGATTAAATACATTTGGAATATTAAAATAGCCTTCGAAGGAACTCTACTAATATCATCACTAAACGAAACGAGAATATATTTTGAATTTAGTTACTATAACCATTCCTCTCAACATTTTATACAAAAGTTTCAATAAAAATGCTTTTACAACTTTTAATTGAAGTCTAACTTAGAGATAAAATTAGAGGAGAATTATAAAGATCGAATAATTACTAAATTAACGAATTTTTAATGTTTTCATATTTCTTCAGATAAATGAATACGCATTTGTGCCATGTTACCAATAATATCTTCCCTATGTAATAAATACCTTACCTATAATAATATACCTATAATATTTTATAAGTTTTGGATAGTAACAATTGAACACCAGAAAAATTCCACCAGAAAAATAAAATTTTTTGGTTATTTTTATTTTATTTTATCAATTAATAAAAGAGAAAACACAAATAAGAGATTAAAACAAATCAGAAAAAAATTTCTGGCATGCTCGCCACATAACCGAACGCATTGTACATTTTTTGAATAATATAAATTCTAATAAATCTATCTGTGTTTTTATCAATTTAAGCAAATATAAAATTTCAGAAAATTTCGTTAATTATATAGTAAATTCGCCCGACATAGGGTATAACAAAGTCTTATCGATATTATTTCGGAAAATCTGAGGCAGACGTGCAATTTTATAGTTTTATATCTTTTTGAATGCTTATTTTTATTCTATAGTTGTATGTACAAGCGCGCATATATGCAACTGTATGTAAGCAATCAAATTTAATTGCAATTTTTAGTTAACACACTCGATTTAAATTGAAGAAACAGTTTAGTTGCGTGAGAGGACCAGTAACGATTTTACAATCAAGCAGTAATTGCAAAAAACGTTTCTCTACCATAGAAAGCTCGATTTATTAAAATTATTAAATACCGTTACAATACCTCCATTATTGTATGCAATGCAATCCGTAACTAGTTATAAACACACTCTCACTGCACAGATGAAAATATTGACTTTGAATGTGTGCATCGCACAACAAAAAATTAGTCAAACATTGAACAACGAAACAAAATAGGTAATACAAAAAATTCAAAAAAGAATAACAAGCAAATTATCAAAAAAAAAACATAACAATAATAATAACAAATAAAAAAAAAAACAAATTTTTAAAAATGAGGAACTAAAAAATATTAAAATTTTGATAAGATCTTCTTTTGCACTATAGAATAGTGGGAAAAAAATCATTAATTTGAAATAAGAATAATATAAAATGATTATGCCTACAAAATGAAACAACAATAACTTGCATAATATACACTCTGACAAACATATTATGCAATTACGTATCTACATGTATAAAATTTGAACATTTTAATCTCACAGAGAATCTCAAGTGTGTATACATAAGTTGTATGACATTGAAAATCCAAAATTTTGTTATAGATCGAATAGTTAAATCTAATTATGCTTATATTTCATGTTTATTGATTTTAATAAAATAATTTAATTTTTTTGAAATTGCAACTTTGGTATTTTCTATGTATGTAACAAAAAATATGCATTTTTTCACCTAGACATTCCATATGTATACTTTGAAAATAGTAGATAAAATCTTTTTATTTCCGTATATTAAATATTATTATGGTAAATTATCATTTATTTTTAATAAAATAATTTTTGATTCAAGTGATCACGTTCAAATAAAATATTATATTTCGATCAATATATACAGTGAGCGTTCAGTTTATGTAACTTTAATTTCAATACCAATGTCATTAAACATTAAATATTCTGAATTAATCTGAAATATTAATCAAACTTAAAATCAAAATTGTATTATTATGCTAACAAACATTATAGT